TTAAATTTCTCAAATAATAAAATTTAAGAACTTAAATATATTAATTAAAATATGAGAGTTTAATATCAAATTTAAGATTAATTTTAAGGATTAACATATGATTTTTTCTTCCTAAACTCTCTCTTATTCTTCTACTTGCTCACTCACACAAAACACAGCAACCTATTTGCTATTTATATTTAGGAATAGGAAATGTACTCACTTCTACAATAAAGACACTGATAAAATTTTTCTTAGCTTTCTCTAGACACCTCCAACTACTCTACAATTAATATCTCAATAATTTACATTTTCAAACAATTCTCCACCACACAAACCTCCCTCCAATAAATGGTGGACGTGATACTAGCGATATTATTTATCATCTATTGTGGATTATTTTATTTTATTTTTCACTTTCATTAGGATATGGCAAATAAGTTGGATAAGATGATTTGAATCTGAGTCATTTTATACCTTGAATTTTTTAAATTTAGGTATCAGCTTAAAGAAATAGATATATAACTAATTCACACGAGATTTAAATTGAATTAACTGGACTCAATTTCTTAAAATTAAAATTAAAATTAAAATTTTTTATATTTTTTTATAGTTTTCTATGATAAAGTTAATACTAATTAATTATTTAATTAAAAAACTTTATTAAACGGTTGATTTTCATTTCATAATGTAATTTTTATTCTAATTTCATTGAGAAGGGATGTTGCAACTTCCCCTTTTTTTTTTTTTTCTTTTCCTTCTTCTTCCACAATAGGTTTAAATTTCAAAGCTTAAATTTATCAAGTCCAAGGTTTGAACACATGACTTCAAGTAGCTTTTCAAAAGCTTTTGCTACTTGTGCTTCACCATTGTTATCTTTTGCTTAAAGTTTTATTTCTTTTATTTGAGGAAGAAAATAATTAAATTCCCCTTTGAGGAATCCAACTTCCTTTTAACTTTATTGAATTCTTATGTAAAGAGGAATATTCTTGATTTTTATATTGAAATTAATATAAATTTTATTTAATTGATATTTTTAAAATATAAATTAAAGTGTCATAAATGAATTTTTATAATAATTTATATAAAAAATTATAAAAAATTAATATTTATTTTA